GCAAGCACAGCTCTGCTTCCACATTTGCCAGCTGTCAACGGCACCCACCTGCTCTCCAGAAACAACTGCTAAGGAGAGTTTGTAAATATAAACAGAACCAATGTCACCTGTGCTATCGCATCCACCATAGGTGTGTACGAACAGTTCCAACTCAGTTGGTGTTTCGTACTCAACCAGCCTCCCCAGACAACCTGCACCTCTGAAACAAAAGCAACTGGTTTCCACAGAACAACTGTTCACAATGCCTGAGTCCACCTCATTCATCTTAAGGGGTAGGATGGGGTTGTGCAACATCCCAGGTTCACCCCCCCTCCGCCCCTCCCAACACTGCTCTAGCTCCATGATCCATCTGGCCAAAGCAGCCAATCAGGTGTCAGGCTAATGTAGTTTCCTAGGAAACCAACACGACAGCCACAGAAGCAGGCTGCAGACAGTGGAAAGAAACAGAGTTAGGGACAGGAGGGTCAGTGGGGAAGAATGGTCCGGAATCACCTGACCTTGATGTAAGACTCACCTTCAGAGTCATACTCATCAACACGTGATTTCTAGCTGCTTGTCCTACCTGTAGTGGGCACCCCACCCCAAAACTATATGGCCTTTTGGATGCCAAGAACTACTAGAAGACTTGGGAATGTTAATGCCTTCAGCTCTCCACACACATCAGAGAAAGCCCCGTGAAGTAGGGGTGAAAGGCCAGGCACTAGGTCATGGGTTCAGGCTGGAGCTGTCTAGGAATTCTAGTAGAAAAAGGTACCCACAAAGAGCCTTTTACTCTACAGCTTATTCCATTTCAGAGGGGATAAAATCAGTCTACTAATTGTTTCCAACAGTTACATTCAAAGTAAATCTGCTACCAGGAAGACAAAAGTATCTGCAGAGTAGTGTAAGCTATGATTTAGCCAAGGGCTACTTCAAGAAAGGAGGCTATGGAAAGGATCAACTGAGAATTCAAGACAATTCCTGCTGGAGTCCCGGCAGCCTCTCCAGCCTCCTGAGGGGCTGAGGGGCTGGTAATTTTCAGACACCACACATTCCTGCTTTTGCAGGTATCTTACATTTTATCATTATGAGCGAGTGTACAGATGTGGAGTTTCACCATGAGAAAACCTTTTAGGTAAGTGGTCAGTTCAGAATCAGAGATCTGCTCAACAGCTCCCAAGGTAAAACCAAGACAGGGTCAGGAACCACACAAGCAAGGGGCTGATCTGTGGCAGTGCCCAAGATCCCACTTTGCCCTGCCCACTTCCCGCTATTCTTGGGTCCCCCATACCTGCATTTCAACTGCCAGTCCAAAGACATCCACTTTCCCCCAGACTAGCTCCCGTTCTCATGTCCTGGGTAAGGCCTTGTCTTTCTTAATTGCCAGAAAGCACAATCTCTACTTAGTGTTTTCCTACTTTATTTCCTGCCCCCCCCCACACACAGCGGGACACGGGTTAGCCGAGCCGGCCGCTTCCCTCCCTCCCTCTGCATTCTACCAGGCCCTTACACTAGAGCTGTCCATATGTGCTTTGTGGAGCCAAGGCACAAGTTCACTAGGCAGTGGTGCCCCACGTAGCATCCTGGCTACAAACAGGACCACCCTGTAGGCCTTAGATGGTGCTGGCCCCCTGGTCACCTCTCCATGACTGGAGGGAGGGGGAAATCTGAAGAGACCCTGGGATGAATCGCTAACTCTAACCACGGAAAAGACAAAGTGTTTAATGCTGCTTCACTTAGCAGAAGTCGAGCCCCCAGGGCTCCCCCAGGATAATCAATAGACCTTCTTCTCTCTAGTATTTCCCGCCTCTCCCCTGCACTAGCTCCCCACATCTATGCAGAGGGTTTCTGTGGAGGATTTTCCCTCTGCCCATGTTGGTTGGGGAAGGGACCATGGTTGACATTAGGTTGGGAAGAAGTCACCAATAGTGATCAGTGGTTTCACATGGACCTGAGGTGGACGACATATAACTAGATCAGGGTTCTCCAACTCTGACTTGCCAATTCTGATTGAAGTGTGTGAGGCAGGGCGTGACGCCATGTCCAACAGGCTCCTGGGGGGGCCTTAGAGTACAGGGACCGGTCACCTGGAACATGTATCCTCTGTCCACCTCCCATCCCATGTGTCTTCTGCCCTCCACACCCCGCAGCTCTCCAGTTCAGAAGGAAGCCTTCAGTGCAAGCTACAAAGGCTGTCCAAAGGCACCCAAACCACAACAGAAGATTTTGAATAATAAGTAAAATTTGAATAGAAGAAATCCTAAAAAAAAAGCAAACAAATCCCATAGTCACTTTCAAATCCTCATTTGGTTTTACTCTTCCACATGGCCTTCTATAAGCCCAGCTTTCAGTGGAGTTACCCACACACACACACACACACACAGAGAGCAATGTTCACTCTGGAGTCTGGTTGAAAGGGGCTGCAGCTGACAGGAGGTGAGCACCCAGGGTCCTCTCTGTTCCTGCAGCCATGACAGCATCATCTTACAACAGCAGCTCTTTCTGCCAGCATCCCTGCTATGTTGTCTTGTATATTATTCATGTGCATGCATTTTTAGGTACATGAAATACAAATGATCATGAAAGAACCACTCTCCTAATGCATTTTCTAAAAAAAAAACCTTGAGACTAGAAAGAAGCACATCTGAAGAGGAAAAGACTCACATGGGTTTCGAAGGAAGTCAGTTGCTAGGAAGAGAATCCCAACTATTTCCCCTCTTTCCAATTCTTTAAAACAAACAAGTCAAGGGGAAGAGGATGAAATTTTGTGAATAGGTAAATATACGTTTTTTTTTCTTTTTGTTTTTGGTACTAAGGCTTGAACTCAGGGCGCCAAGGTGCTTTCCCTTAGCTTTTTCACTCAAGGCTAATGCTCTACCGCTTGAGCCATAGCTCCACTTCTGGCTTTTTATAGGTTAAGTTGGAAGTAAGAGTCTTACAGACTTTTCCTGCTCAGGCAGGTTTCAAATGGAGTCCTCAGATGTCAGCCTCCTGAGAAGATAGGATTATAAACATGAGCCACTGACACCTGGCTAAAACACACTGTGTGTGTGTGTGTGTGTGTGTGTGTGTGTGTGTGTGTACAGAAGAGCCTGGGTATGGTCCTTTCGCTTTTTTGCTGAAGGCTGGCCCTCTACCACTTGAACCACAGTTCCACTTCTGGCTTTTTGGTGATTAATTGATGATAAGAGTCTCAGAGACTTTCCTACCTGGGCTGGCTTCAAACCTTAATTCTCATATCTTAGCCTCCTGAGTAGCTAGGATTATAGGCCTAAGCCCCTAGTGCCCCGACTTAAAACACACTATCTTAACCATCAGATTCAGATACATTTCCAAACATCAGGTCTGGTCCAGAGAGAGGGGCCTTAGGGTAATTGGTAAAGGGACTGACTATGCAAGTATCTGACAAGCAGCTTCCATCACAAGGTGACCACTCCACCTCTACTATCACTTAAAGGTTACTATCCTCACAAGGCAGGACCTTATAGAAAACTTCTGTCCCCACCGGCAGCATCTGCCCAACCGCTTCAGCTTCCTCCCTCAGCTGATAAGAGTACACAATATTCATTAACTCAGCTGGGAAAGAGGGCGGGGATGTTAGCGACTAGTGAGTTGAATTTCCAATGGCTGAGGAGCTCATTTTTCCCAAACATATGGTCACATTATCCCTTCTGAGGCTTTTAAGGGCTTTGGTAAGCAAGAGCTGTAATAAGTAGTGGGCAAGCTGGTGCAGTCACTGATTAAGTGGTTTCTAGTTTAGATACTTCTTTAAAAAAAAAAAAAAGGCTGGAATTGTTCTTTTCTTAGGCATGCCCATGTATCTGACAATATTTGCACCTGAATGAGAAACAGGGCAGCTTAGTACAAGGTTCACACCATATAACAAATAAAACCACTCAAATGGGATGCATCTCCACTGTAAGACGGTGCTGTCTTGAGTTATAGGGATGAAGAGAAATGACGGGTGAACACCTGCTCCCAAGAATGCCTCCTTCCTCATGAACAAGGGAGCCTGGAAAACCATGCAGCTGCTTGGGGCAACATGACATCACCATGGGCCCGCTCCTCACTGAAGCCCAGACCCACACGAGGTGCCACCCCTACCCCATCCATCCATCCCTACCACACACACACCAGTCCCTGCTACCACCCCACATACCAAAGCCGCGAGCTCACTGCTTTGCCACCCCCACTCCCAAGCCCCCAGAAACATTGTTCTCTGAAACCCACCCTTCTCCCAGGCCCACTCTGGACACCAGCCTGACTTGCTGAAACGCGATCTGGCTGGGAGGGGGGTGGGGACCTTCGTCAAGAAGCCCATCCTCTGAAACATGCCGGCTCCCTAATGCAGGCGACCATAACAGACACCCTCGTGGTAATAAACACTCGTCCGGCATAGAGCCCACTTCGGAGCACATTAGCTCTGTGGCTTTGAAAAGAAGATCGGATTCCTGGATCGATGCACCGTCAAGTACCACCTGGGCCAATGACAAGGCTGCACAGTGTCTCTCCTCATAATAGCAAGCGGCCTTGTGCCTGTGTTCACCCAGAGCCAGGCGATGGGCGACGCTGGGGCTCAGCGGACTGTGAGGTCCGGTGGAGGTCCCCGCCGCCCGCCCGCCCGGCCGGCGTGCCAGTGGCTGCCGACGGTCTCCAGGGCACGGAGCTGCCCCGCTCCAGGAGGAGGCCTTCCCCGATGCCAGGCTGTTCCCTGGCAGGAAATACCATGGGGGGGGCGGGGGTGCAGAGGGAAAGATGCTGATGGAGCAGGAAGCCCCTAAGCCCGCACCCCGTGGCTGGAGGGGCTGAAATCCAGGGGGCGATTTCTGCCTCCCGGAGCCTCTTGGGGCTCGGGCATGAGCCGCTCCACGCGGCGGCCATCAGGTAGAGCTTCGCCAGGCTGCCGGAACCCCAGGCCGGCCGGGGCTCGGTGCACCAGGCAGGAGGCTGGTAACAAAGCCGGCAGCCGCCCCCGCCCCCTCCCCCGCGCCCGCCCCCACCCCGCCGACAGCGGCGCTTACATGGCCTCGGACACCTCCGGGTTCAGGTCGCTGGCTGGGGCTGCCTGCAGGGACTGCGACCCTCCCATCCTCGCTGCGCCCAGGCGTGCGGGCTAGCTGCGGGCAGGGCCAGCGTCCTGGCCAGGCTGGTCCTCCGGCCGGGAGCCCGGGAGCCCGGGAG